AATGAATTTTGAAAACCTCACACTTTATCTGAAACAGCTTCAATCACCTGTGCAGGTTAACAACATGTTTGTGGCATTTGCACTGTCTATGACTGTACGCCACACAACACGCATCAGTACACATTACTGGTGTCACCAGTGTGCCCTGATTATACAGCAGATTATACTCTATTTATGGATGATACGTTCACAATGAGGCAGTTCTTCAGTGTCATTGCTACACTTTTCACATAATTCTAGTTGATGCCTGTGGTTCATTTACCTTATACAGCATATCTGTGTTGCATTACTCTATTATTAGTGCAATGAGAGTCCAGTAGCAGTGGCAGCAATGGAAGCAGTGACAGTGACAGGCTATTCCTACTGTGATTTGGTCTCAGTTTGTAAAAAAAAACCCACACACAATGTACTTGAATGACGTGGGTACTCAGTCTTTGCAAGATAGTTAGCTCACTCTGCATGGTAAATTGACTTCTTGTAAACCTCCAGTTTCCAAGTTCTAAGATGTTTATGTCCTTGCTTTGAGCTTCCACTTACACTCTGCACACTTTTGCCTGACCTCTTGGCGCTCCTTTCCAACCTTAAACCACCTGCCTCCCTCCACATCACACTTGCCATTGGCACCAAGTAAGGCAGAAAATCCCCTCTCACTGCCCAAGTCACATTCAGAGACATCTTAATATCCGTTTCTGACCAATAACCAAACTATACTTTCACTAAGTGGCGCTCCCTCCTAACCTTGACTCAGACTATCACCTCGATTCCTTTGTTATTTCCTCTTGTGTTTATAAAGACTTGAGACTGAAAATGCTTCACTGTTCAATCCTTGTCTGCTATTGAGACATCTTCTCTGCCTGGTGTTCACAGCCCATAACAGATTGATTGATCACGAACAATTCAGATTCACTTCAGTATATGTTAGGGGTGTAATTACACCAAATACTTAAAAGAAACATATTACACTTGTTACATTTTTAAATACAGTGCATTACGTTACGTTTGTACTCTTTGTTGAAGTGATTTGTTATATTCTTCATTATATTACTTTCATGTTACCTTACACATAGCATGTTATTCCCATTGCATTGGGCTATAGCAGCAGAAGACCACAAAGGGTGCTGACACCTAAAAATACAAAGCTT